TTGTTTTTGTTTTACGAATTCCTCCAGGTTAGGGATTAGCCTCGCTCACTCCCGCTTTTGAAGGCACGTATTTCTTTTAAAATCTGGGAGAGACAGAATAAGTACATTCTGTAAGTTTGCTGAGAAGACAGGAGAGGTCGGCACTCAGGGTGCTGCTAGAGAACGTGTATTTTTGGTTGGTGTCACTGTGACAGGCGAGAGAGGCTGGGGTCGGGGTGAGTTGAGGGGGATGACAGTTGAACCCAAAACCGTTCCCAGCCAGCCTGCCTGCCTACACTGCCAGCCCTTTTTTCCTGAGGGCAAAATGACCATAAAAGGAAAGCGGCTTCCAACAAGATTGGCCTCCAGATTGTGTAATTTATGAAACAGCTTCTCCTCCAGGCTTCCCCTCTACTGTCAAACCCAAAGTCAAGGTGGCTGAAGGGAAAACAGGATGTGCCTTGGAGAGAAACTCTTCTGCTTTAAAAGAGTATCACTTTATAATTCGGTGGCATGCATAAGGAATCTCTAACAAAGAGATAAAGGAGCCATTGCTAGCTGGTCTGAAGTCAGTTTTCTGGCTCTGCTCTTTGATAAGGAGCTTTTACTTGAGTAGGCCCTCTTCCTTCCTGAGCTTCCAGGAAAGGCTATTTAGAATTTTCCCCAAAGTACTCTGGATACAATTTCAGTGTCCATCTCAAAATCAGCAGCAATAGCTTTGTATTTTGTTTTCTAAGCAGAGAGATGTGTCATAGCCAAACCCACATCTCCCTCATTTTGTACAGAAGAAAATAAATGCCTGGAGAGATTGAGAGACACCCCTGACATCTATCCCGCAGCTAGAGCTCTAATCGCGTGATCAAACCTTTCATGTCGATGTCATTATTCCTGTTTGACAGAAGAAAAAGTGAAGGCACAGAAATCTTACCCAAGGACATTCTTAAATAAAAGCCAAGCATTGCCACTCTCTCATTCACGTTTGTGTTTTTTTCACTCCATAAGAGGTTTTAAACTAGAGCTCAGATGATGGTAGTGAACCCAGTTTGGTGGGTTTAGTAGCATTGAAAGATAAATTAAATAGAGTGAAAGGGGAAAGCGTAATTTCCAAATAAGGCACAGCAGGGCTGGGAGTGTGGTTCAGTGGCACGGTGCTTACCTAGCGTATGCAAGGCTCTAGCTTCAGTCCCCAACTCCACCAGTAACAGTAATTATAAATGTGATAATAAAAATAACAACAGAATGGGTCACATCAGTTACATACTGGAAAAAGGTTTTCCCATGCATGTATTTGTGTGAGATGGTACACGTGTCGGGCTGTGGTCACACTCTGAAAGTCACTGCCCTAGAACATGACTAATCTGTCTAAAGCGTAACAAAGCCTTGGTGTACAGGGCAGCTACCTCCCCGCGGGCTTTTACCGAAGCAGAACCCACACCATCTGAACACCATTCCGATACACTTTCAACAGCACCGGTGATGTTGGAATCCACGAAATCGGTTGGCAGAAGCAGCTCCCTGTGCCCCCACCCCAACTGTCTGACACCTATGCAGAAGCAGAACACAGACCGATGCAACCAGTCCACGTATCCACAAACCCCAGCAAGCTTTTGTGTGCGACAGTCTATATAAATTGGAGATCCGTCATTGTTCAGTATAAAAGGTGACAAAGTCCAAAGCTATGCCTTGTACTTGTCTACCACTACATGATGGTGAAACAAGAGACCCTATAATCTGCCCCACAAACAACAGACCAATGGAGCTGGAAAGAATACAGTTTGCTCCATAAAGCAGAAGCCGGTTTCACAGTGGGAGGAAAGTGGTTCCTCTTTATGAAAGCCCTGCATTATGTGTTGGAGACCCAAAGAGGAGTGAGACTGGGGTTCTGAATCCAATGGATAATTCAGACATAAACTAAAAAGATACAGAACTAAAAAGAAGATGCACTGTAATCTTAGCTGCTGTGTTAATTAGTCCAGTTTTATATAGAAAATATGAAGAAAGAACTTTGATAATGTGAAAAGGCTAGACTGGTCAGAAATTGAACCCTTGGGTTGGTGTTTACCTCCATATACTGACTCATGAATAATATTTTTTAGTGCCCAGATGTATAGATGGAATCTCAGAAGGAACTAAATTTAGACTGTTACTGGAATGACTTCCCATTTTAAAGAAATATATATACACTTGTAATATAAAATTGATGTCGTCTTTTAGAGCTAAGTTGGCAAAACTAGTATCCCAGATAATTCTTCAGCTGTTAGTTTGCTTTCTGGTTATGGTACCAGATTTGGAGAGAGAGCTACAGGAGGATTACAGGTCCGGTTTTCTTTATCCAATGAACACCTCTAAATGCCTGCTTCTGTGGTCAGTGTTGTGCATAGCAAACGTGCTGGCCTTGACTGCACTCAGCTAGCCAGGGAGCGGCCTTTCATCACATGGCAGCAACTAACGCGTGGGCAGCAACTAAAGGAGCAGCCCTTGCCTCGCCTGTTTTGCATAGAGCCGGCCCCTCTGTTCCTCAGTCTGGGAAGAGCTCATCTTTTAGCTTCTAGTTCTAGTTCCTGGGAAACTGTTATGTCTGCTTATTAAAGTGCCCTTAACAAAATGTTTGCAAGACAGCCTTTCCTGAATCTCTCTTCCCTTTGGTGAGAACGTAAAACAACTCACTGACACATAATCAGAACCTGATCTCTAAAGCTAAAATGATGTTTCCATAATGGATGATTAAAACTACTGAAAGAGATGAGCCGACTGGGTGTGTCTGTAGCACGGTGTACTGTGCAACAGTAGGGAGCCAGTGACTGCTGAGACCCACGTCACCGGGAATGTGCCACCAAAGCATTTTGCTGGGGAAAGAAGCCAAAATCAAAAGGCTACATAGTCTGGGATGCCACAAAAGTGACATTCTAGAACAAGGAGAAGGGAAAGGGCCGCAACCAAGCAGTGACTGCCAGGGGCTGGAGGTAGAAGGAGGGGCGGGACTATGAAGAGCAGGAGGGAGTGCCCGGTGGCGGTGGCGGAAGGTTCCTCATCACCTAGACGCTTGCGAAAGGGCAAATGCACATATGCAAAGGTTAATGCTATGGCACATCACTCAGACCCCTATAACCGCACCTGAAAGTGAAAGATTTTTTAAAAATTCATTGAATTAAAATGCTTTTCAGAATTGAGGACAAGTTACTGCCCACTCTTCTCCTACTCACTAGTAAGTATTTTGATCCTGGGAAAATTATTTGTCCTGAGTCTTAGGAGCTTAAGTTGGCCATAAATAAATGGGAAAACAAATAATTACTTCACAAAAATCGGGCTTTTAAGTCCAAAAATATTTAAATTGTAGGTATTTTGTTATATGCTAAAAACACTGACAATACAGTTTTAAAGATTAGCTCCACAAGGATTGTTATTTGGTTTGCAGAGGTAGGTCTTTATACCGTAGTACCCATACATACACACCACGATGTGATACATTTTCATCAATATTCACTTTGATTAGTATGGATCCCAGTGATAAATGTAGCAAAAATTTTTGAAATAAAAGTGATCCAACAAGAAACCTAAATATGCCAAATACAACCTCAAAGACATATCTTCACTTACAAAAACAATGTCTTATGAAGCCAGACTTTAAAAATTCACCCTATTATTAATATTAAAACACTAGCACCTTATGACATTGTAAGCATTTAATATATGTCACATGAACGTGAACCTATAGTAGTAGTGGTTTACAAATTAAATAGGCATGGCTCTTTTTTAGAATAACCATAGGCATTCCTCCAAAAGAGGCAAGATGGAGTTTGCTCTTAAGAATATATAATCTTAAACTAGGTGTAGTGGCACACGCCTGTAATCCTAGCACTTGGGAGGCTGAGGCAGGAGGATTGCTGCGAGTTTAAGGCCAGCCTGGGCTACAAAGTGAGTTCAAGACTAGCCTGCACTGCATAGTGAGATCCTGTCTCAAAAAGACAAAAAAAAAGAAAGAGAAAGAAAGAAAAGATAGAAAGAAAGAAAGAAAGAAAGAAAGAAAGAAAGAAAGAAAGAAAGAAAAAGAAAGAAAGAAAGAAAGAAAGAAAGAAAGAAAGAAAGAAAGAAAGAAAGAAAGAAAAGAAAGAAAGAAGGAAGAAAGAAAGAAATATAATCTTAACCCTGTGCAGGGAAGATGAGGTGGGAGGATTGAAATTTCAAGGCCAACCTGGGCAACTTAGTAAGACCCTGTTTTAAAAAAGGAGAAGAAAAAAATAGTTTTAATAATTAAGGGAATTTCTAGGACATTGATAGCAAGGAGATTGTCATAAAATAATTAACAAATAAAGAGCAAGTAGATAACTGGCTGGTATTTGAGTCCTTCCTGCCAGTCAGGTACTGTATACAGCATCTCCACACGGTGTCACTTAAGCCCTCAGGGGAGGACAGTGCCACAGATCCAAGTTGTAGATGAGCAAATGAAGGCAGCTGGGTGAAATGAGCTTGCCAACAAGTGGGGCCTGTCAGCTGGCTCTGGAGCCTGCACTAATGGCCATTCGTCCCCACTGCCTGGGGGTCAGTAAGGCTGCCGGAAGAGGCAGTGGGACAAACGGGACTTCCGACCAGCGGCGATGGAAGCCGCCCTGGCCCCATTTTATCCCTAGTTCTTCTGGCCTTGTCTGGACCTGGATTTCTTACAGCAGCAGCAACAACAAAAGGAGATACTGAATCCAGCGATGCCGCTGTTGTTACTTCTAGCTCAAACTGTATTCTCTGAATCAGTGGGGGACAGAGTGCAATGGAATAGCCCTGTGAGGTGCAGGCAGAGCACCTGTTTTGGAGGCGCACTTGCCATTGCTGGAGGCAGCCCCAGGGTGAACTGCACCAGGCCCTCAGAGTGGCTGGACAAACCCCAAGAAACAGTAGGACCAGAAGCCGACGTGCTGCTCATCTGGAAGATCAAAACCCAAGCCAGACACAGACATGGGGGGAAAGAAAAACATAAATTAAGAAGCCCGCCTGTACATAAAATCTTACCCAAATTTCTTTCACTTCAGAATGAAGAAACACGTGAAAGGAGTCAGAATAATGGGGGAAGCTCTGAGCTGCAGCAGCTGGGCGGAGAAGACCTGTCCCCGTCCCCCGGCAGGTAAGGCGGCAGACCGCGGCGGTGGCGGGGTCGCTCTGGCAGAGGGAGCCCTGGTTTAAACCTCATCCCGCTCTTTCCCAGGTAAAAGCCACAGTGTTTGTTCGCACAGTGATCTTCCCTGTGTATTGTACCTGCACCTCACAAAAGCAACAAGCAAGAGAATGGAAAAAGATGCCTTATTACAAACCAGGCTTGCAAGGACAGGTTTTTAAAAATGGAGCATCCGGAGAATATTGAGTGACAAGTCACACTGACTAGATTATTGCTTTAAACACTTTTTAGAAGTTCTAAGTTTGCCGAAGACACAAGTTATACAAATGTAAAGCTATTTTTTGGTCCACAGGAAGGTGTTTGCATACAGTGAATGCTGTGTAGCTCAGAAACCCTAAATTAGGAAGGTAAAGACCACAAGCATAAGGGGAAATTCATTTTTAAAAATCCTTGTATTCAGAATCCAAAGGTCATAACCCCTATTTATGCCATTTGACTTGTGAACGACTTTATCTCCAGGGTCTTTTCATGAGTGGCTCTCCGTGGGCCTCCAAAAAATTCTCGTAGAATGAATGGATAAAGGGTTGGGGATTTAGCTCAGCGGCAAAAGCGCCTGCCTGGCAAGCGCAAGGTCGTGAGTTCGGTTCCCGGTACCAGAGAAAAACCAAAAAACCAAAAAAAAAAAGAATGAATGGATAAATATCTTTAAGAACTTGCCCCTTCATTAAAGCCATTTATTATTTTAATTAACTACTTTATATTCATTCACTTTATTTCATTTTTTTTGGTACTAGGAATCAAACTCAGGATCTTGTTCTTGCCGGGCAAACACTGTGCCCCTGAGCTATATCCCCGGCCCCTATTCATTCACTTTAAGTTATACTCAAAGAAACAGACATGGTCTCTTAGTCATTAAAATGTTTTCTTTAGTTACCGTGAGTGTGAGGGTGCTGGGTGGGGTGATCTCTGTTACTAACACCATACCTATTTTTAAAATTATAAAAGTCTTAGTCAAATGTGTCCTTTAAGTTAGTTGATTAATGATTGTGTTAATTTACATAAGGACATGAAATCACACTTCTAATGAAAAACACCAGGGAAGCCAACCCATTCGGGGACCCTCCTGTCTCTCAGGAGCTCTTCCTATTCCACATTCCTTTTCTCCAATAAATTTTCCTACTCTTCAAAAAAAAAGAAAAACACCAGGGGAAAAAATTGCACTATTTAACTAACGCAGCAAAAATGCCTTTATCTTCTTGCAAAAGATAAAGGCAAAATTAGCCAGTCAACTTACAGAGAGGAGAATCTATAAGACTACTAGTTTTGTTCTACCATATTAAATACATTACGATTACCCATCTTTGCTGCAAAAATTTCATACGTATTTCCTTCTTTAATTTTGCTTTTACCACTTGAGTTTTATAGATTTGAGTTTATAAATGATATAAATTCATTGGAGCTAGAGTGGATAAGTACAATATGCTCAGCATAAAGAAGCATTTAGATTTGCTGAATAAATTATAAACTTTTAAGTAGTGCAGATAAAACGTCATGAGTGTCCATTAAGGGTTCTGAATAATTCATCTCTTTTCATAGTTGGATGGCTGGCCAAGAAAAACATTACCTTATTATTTGGAAAAAATAATGTATCTGGCTATTTGGAAAAGATGATTTTGAGTACCATGGGATAGGGTGTGCTGAATCTCTACCTTCAGAACTTATTTTATAACGAGGACATAATTAGTTGGTAGTACACAATTAAGCGTAAACTTAAGGAGGATGCTAAGGGATGTGTAGTGAAGGAGCAGAGAGAGAAGTGGATTTCCAAGGTTTCAACAGGTGCAGAAGAAATGGTACTCCCGGCAAAAGGAATGAACGTAACCAAGTCACGAATAAAATCTGAGATGAAAAATAGTGGCGGTGGGAAAAGCTATCTAGAGGGGCTGGAGGAAAGGACAATCACCATGGGACCCTAGAAACACAGGGAGAAGAGTTTCGATTTTAGGCTGAGGGCGGTACGGAGCCTTGGAAGGCTGGAGCGAAGGAATACTGTAGAGAAAGCTGTTACAGAACTGACCAGAGGAGCAGTGTCAGGGGGACATCTGACATGCCTTGCACTATTATAGCAGAAGGATAACCCTGCATATCCAGAGTTCTCTGGTCTCATCCTTACGGCAGCTGTGGGGTCCAAGCAAAGCTCCCAAACACAGGTCTGGTTAAATCTTCCAAATGATCAAACACTGTTGTAGTTCCAGCTGCAAACATGCCTTGCAAGTGCAAAGTTCTACAACTGAATGATTCAGATGCTTCCAAGTTTTATAAAATACATGAATTGAATCACTATATACAAACCGAGAACTGAGCAGGAATCAGGCAAAAGGCAGATTTATTGCGTACTACGTACTACGTGCAAATATATGAAAGCACCAAACCCCCGAGGTAGGCAGGAGAGCTTTCCTGACTTAAAGAGGCAAAGGCTACCTCTGAATCTGCTTTGAACAACCAGCAGATGAAATCAAGTAAAAGGAAACTGCAGCCTTTTCAAATGGTGTCTAAGGCACTAATGGCTGTGGGTTCTAATTTCACCCCGACCCGAACAAGTTATTAGGAAAACATTCCTCCACCTGCCCATTCCGGCATAAGTCATTTAACACACAAAAACAGGCCTCACCGGGGGCTGTATAATGCAGCGGGCATGACGTTCCTCTACCCTGGGCACAGAAGCAGGCCTAAGCGTGTGCAGCCCGCGCCTCTGTAACATCACACAGAAACAGCTGACCGGGCCAGCACACCGTCCACACGGAAACTGAAGTACACAGGTGCTGACAATTTTTAAGTTGTTTATTGGAAATCATAGATTTTTTTAAACCCACTAATTATTTTGCCATAAAGAGCAAAACTAAAATAATATAAATATTCAACATTTTGGTATAAAATTAATGATATGGAAAAAAGATGCAAACCAACCCGGAGGTAAAAAGTTGTTTGTTTGTTTGTTTGTTTGTTTTTAACAATAACACTGTGTACAATCATCTTTTACTCAAGTGACCATCCAGGCTAGTCGTTTATTTTCCCTTTATTGACATTTTTTTAAAAAAGATAATCCTGCGTCGGAGCACCAAAAAGTTTTTCCTTCCTTTTAAAAAGGTTAGAACGCTTCTATTTACAAACACTCCTCTCAGTACTTGAAGTCTGATAAAGGAATTATCAAGCAACTTCCTTCTTACAAAAAATGGAAGCGCCTTCATATTTCCTTCCAATTTAAACTTGTTCCACTCTATTCTAAGCAAAAATAAAAGATTTCAAGAGAGTTCTTTCAACAAATAAATTACTGTTCCACAAAAGTTTTGCTGTAAACAAGATCACTTCAATGGTCAGAGAGATACTGATGTTTTCAATGCATGGCAAATTGTAACAGTCCCCAGTATCGCTACATAGGGTATCTATGGGCCAAAGACAAATACTTATTAAAGAATCAACTAATCAAATTAACTGTCAAGCTGCTTTGTCAAAATGTGCTTTCATTTTCTGCAGTTGCTAAGGTTGGTCAGAAATTTTAAACTATGAAGATCTACAACTCGGAATCTTCTCTGAGCTACAGTAACTACAACCTAGGATGTTTGACATTGTAGTCTTGACATGAGTTAAAAATACTAAATTATCTAAGCGATGTAAACAAGCTTCCAATTTCAAAATAGAAAAAAAATAACAAAAAAGTCGTTGTAAACATTGAAAGTCTACCTAAGAATTATATCATCATCCAGTTGTGTATACCGAGAAATCCTTTTTAGCTGTGTTTTGCCTGCGTCTGATGTCATCTTATTAAATGAGACATCTGAGTTGGCCAGAACACGTGTTTCTGAGCCAAAGGCTTTATAATCAGTTCAGCTGTTTTTGCTGAAGTCAAAAACAGCTTTTGGCCTTTATAGAATGTCCCTAGCAAACCACCTCACCTGATTCTTTCTGTAGCAGGGAGTGGAAGTTGTTTGCATCCTGGCCACCTTCTTCTCCTACTTTGTAAAATAAATGTAACTTAATGTATTAGCTGTCGGCCACATCTAATAAAGAACACGCAGCTTTACAAATAAGATGTTTTCGATCTCACCCTGGCAACTTCTCCGGCACTTCTATTCTGCTTTTAAGTGTGAACTATTTAAAGGATAAAGATCAACTTGGACAGTCATTTGATCAAAGGATCGATTATTTTAGATGATATCAGTCCGACGTGATGTTCAAGATTCTTAATTTAAAACTGAACTTAGAACAAAGTGCGTAGTTTATGAGACTATGTTGAGAAGAGATGGGTTAATTTTAGTAATTGATGTAATGATTTTTTTTTTTTGTTTGTTTTTTGTTTTTTGTTTTTCTCCGGTACCGGGAACCGAACTCACGACCTTGCGCTTGCCAGGCAGGCGCTTTTGCCGCTGAGCTAAATCCCCAGCCCCTGATGTAATGACTTAGATGCTAAGATTGTATTTCATAAATTACAGAGGAAAGAGACCTTCAATGCTCTACCTTTCCTTCTGAAGTCTCTTCCCTTATTCTATTCCCCTCTGCAAACATTTAAATAACTACCTTAAACACAGACCAATACTCAATCCATAAAAACCAGCTGAAAAATTCATGAAGTTAAAAAGAGCTTACCGAAATTAATAATTTCTCCCTAGAGAAGGACCCTATTGGCAACAAATTGCCTATGCTTTATGTCATTTTCTAATATTAGGGGGAAAACACACCACACGAAGTACCAGTTAGGGCAGAGCTAATGACTTCTCAAATTTCACATTAAACTTTGAAAGAAGGATATAAATGCATTTTAAATGATGCTAACACTATCTAGTAAATAGCTACATGGAAGTGACCATTAAGTGACTCCGTTGTTTGTAATGAAATTGCAGACATTTTTCTATATCTCTTCTTAAGACAGGAGATTACCTTTTAGCAGATTGATATATTTCTCCTATGCCAACCCTTTCCTGCCCCACCATCAAGTGCTGTTTAGTAAAAATGAACAGGAATACCTGGTCTAATAATATATTAATTTCTTGGAAATGCCATACTGCACATTCACTTGATATTTCCAAAAGCTGTTACTTAACATCGAGGCTTCTTAATAACTCTCTGTACTGCAAACATCCAAGTGGCATCGAATGAGAAAGTGAATTTTACATTAGTTTTGTTTTCATTCGTAATATGAACCATTTCTAAATGTGAATTCCTTCAAATGTAGCTAGGTCAGGAAGTAAAGAAGGTATATCAACCGCTTCTACAATCAAAGAAATACCCTGATAGACGAGGCTTTCAAAATACTTCTTTGCCTTTCATAGTCACTTACTATGGGGCACAGACGGCTAAAGGTTTTCCATCCAGGTTTGGCTCAGTGACAGTGAAAACACACATTCAAGTACTGTCAGACAAATGCAGCCCTGCAGGGATACGTGTCCACATAGGTCAGTTTGCAAAGGAGAGCTATCTTCTTTAACCTGCAGTATATTTGACCGAAAAATCCTCTTGAAACATTTTTGACTTTAGGATCTGTGGCATCCCTCCAAAGGTCATACAGATCTTGGACATGCCCGTGAGATGTCATCATTTTTTCATAGATGCAGGGATGATAAGGAGCTTTACCTTCCCCAGAAAAAAACACATGGTACTGTGGTACGATCCCCATTTTATTGGCACAGAGGCCCATGAACACATCGTCGATGTACAGGCTAGAATTCAGCGTCTGTGATGCCTCGTAGACCTTGGCCGCTACGTCACTGGAGATGACATAGGCAGCGCCGGCCGTGTAATCGGGGTAGGCAGGCCACTGGTACATTTCGTAGGAGACGTAGTACTTGCTGCTTTTGTCTCTAACGGGAGGGGCACCACGGTGAACACGACCAATCCAAAAGTCTTGAACACCCATTTGTTCTAAACTTTGAAGGTATTCAACGAGATTTGGCATGTGAATAAATATGTCATCGTCAGCAGTCATCAAGAATTTGGCGTGTGGACAAAAGGTGTTTGCCCAGCTGAACTGCAGAAGTAATTTAAGAGTAAGATTGTAGAAAGAATCAACAAAGTCTTGCTGAATGATATCGCCATACATCTGATCTTCCCAAACCAGTTTCCTCTGCAGTTCTTCTCCCTTCAGTGGGTTAGGAGCTCCTAAAGCAAACAGAGTTTTGATGTTGGCGTGAAGCTGAGACCGAACGTACTTTTCGTTGCCCCACGTTCTTCTAATTGCAGAGCGCCGGTCGTAGTTCTCGGGGGCAGTCTTTACAAACAGTAGAAGAAGGACATCTTGAGCTTCACACTTCTCCTGGTGGTTAATCAAGTATGGGTAGCGAGACCCTTCCAAGCTGTGCTTCACAGACAGGGTATCATTCACAAAGTCATATCTATTGATGAGGTATCTGTATGAGTAGGACTTCATATGGCTCACAATGTGATTATCAATAGGTCCCCAAAAAATCATGACGCTGAGAATAAAACAAGTGGCAAATAACTGAATGAACTGACATTTTTTTACTCTTCTGCCACTAACAAACATTCTCATGTCCATTCAGGTCTGTTGTTTGTTGTTTTTTTTCTAATTTATTTAGGATGAGTCTGAAACAGGTGCTTGCTTCTTGGAGAACAGAGAACTTTGTATTTTGTAGAATAGATATTCATCTTAATGCATGCTGATCATGAAGATGGAGAAGGATCTTCCTTTTTCACACAGTATTTGCTTTGGATACCATTTTTTCTAGGGTTGCGAAAGAATGAAACATGCTATAGGGTGAGGACGCTGCACATCAAAATCCCTCCACAGCGGCATCCTTTGTTAGGTCTGGTGCATGGCCCCACGCAGCTGGCTCATGTGCTGCTTCCTTTGAGCATGAGCTGGGACCTATCAGAGTCCAAAAGAGAAGAGAATAGTAAACAAATGAGTTACTGTGTTACCCAAAAGGTTCATACACTACTAATTCCCTCGAACCAAATGTAACCTGAGTGACGGCCTCCAAAATGCACTGAGTTGTTTAACAGCAGAGCAGACAGCTGTTTAATGTGTTAGAGGAATAAATACAGGGAAAAGGCCAGACCTGGTGGCACATGCCTGTAATCCCAGCACTTGGGAGGCTGAGGCAGGAGGATCGCTAAGAGTTTGAGTCCAGCCTGGGCAACAGAGTGAGTTCAAGGCCAGCTTGGACTACATAGCAAGATGCTGTCTCAAAAAAAAAAAGGAAAAGAAAAAAAACTGGATTTGATACTGTCTTTCCATTCAGAATAGAACACCCTTTTCTCCTCCCTCTCTTAAAAAAAAAAAGTAACAGGTGATTATTATCATGTACACTGAAAATTCAAATACCACAACTTGGATTATCCATGAATATATTGATTTGAATATAGTCAGGATGAAATGAGTTACACCAATTAAGGCAAAATACTAGATGAAAAGCAATAAAGGTCCATTAATGGTTGCCCTAGCCAAGGCAGGAATAAGAGTAAGACTTTTTAAAATATCAGTTCACAAGCAAGGAGTCATGGTTTGCTTTCCAAAGCATAGAAAATTCTCTCTAATCAACATTACTTTGTGAGCCCCAAATCTATATAGTCATCTTCCTTTCCTTCTTCCTTTCTTCCTTCCTTGCTTTTTCAACGGACGCCTCAAACTTAGCGGGTTCTCAAGTGGAAGCAACGCGGTGACAGCCACGAGCTCTGCCTTGTAGTCGGGGCAGCTGCAACTGGGGGGCGCAGCTAACTTAGTATTTGTTGTACTAAATCATGCGTCTCACCCAGGAACCTGAAACTGAAAGGGCACCACTTAACTTGAAGTTTTCATGCAGCAAATGGGAATACACGTAGACTTGCAGGTAGGGGGAGTAGAGAGTTAATTAGCAAGCACACGAATGCCATTTCTAATACATTCCACTCGCTTCCCCGACACCTGCCGTTTCCATCATCTCTGGATCTGTGCCTGACGGAGGTTCATTCATCAAACCCAGAAATCTAAAGTCGGCCTTCTCCTCTATTTCCATATCCAGTTGTCTGACCCCGTGAATCACTCTGTCCGCATCTCTCTTCACCCCCTCCTATCACCAGGCATCTCACCCAGCCTGGGAGGCCAGGAAAGAGCCTAAGGGATGCCCCGGCCAACCCAACTTCACTTGACAGTCAGCATGGCCTTTCCAAAACTCAGACGACCCGTGAGACCAGCTGAGCTCTTCCACCTCCTCCTCGCTCACTAGTTAGCACAACACGTAGTCCGGGTTACGACTCAGCCCAGCACCCAGGACCCGTCAGGCTCTGCTCCTTCAGCATCCCTCGTGGCCACCTGGCTGTCCCACGTGTCCGGCCCTGTGTGCCAGCAGCGCTGTGGCCTTGTCCGCCCAACTCCCAGCTCCCATGAAGTGCCTTCACTGCATATCCTACGGGAAGACCTCTCTGGGAAGCCTAAACGGGGGCTCCATCCCCTCAAACCTGTTCCTCATCTGCTCCTTCCTGCTCCCTGTACTGAGACATTTTCAGCGCAATGTTGTAGACACCCTACCCTCAGCGTCATCAACATCTGACACCCAGGAGGTGTTCACCAAATGCTGGTGCCAAGAACCCTGCCAGGTCGGAGCAACTTTTCACTCCAAGAGCTGCTGGAAGGAGTGAGGGGTCAGAGCCAGCCAGGTGCTGCCCGAGATGGGTCCACACCACAGCGGCCTACCTCACTTCTCCCCTTTCCTTCCCCCACCAAGCGACAGCACCCCTCCCTTCCCCCAGGGTTCTGTCCCTCGTGCTTACCACAAACATCTCCTTGCCTTAAGGTAGGCGCTGCCTCTCAAGGCACATGTGTTCCCGGCTTTGACGGAACTGGGAGGGAGAAGGTGGTGCAGGCAGGGTCACAGCGAGCCAGCATCACAAGCCCGGGACAGAGGCTTCTCCTCACGTCTCCCCACCCTTGATCTTGGCGTAAAACCAACGGTGCATACCCCGTGCCCTACAGCATGGACCTGGCTCTGGCTGGGGCCTCCTTTCATACCTCTGCTGCATTTCCTGTTCCCCATGATCACGCCTACCCAGGGCAAAAACTGCAAAACTTGATACTGAAAATCAGGCAAGTTGGCCGGGGATCTAGCTCAGTGGCACAAGCGCCTGCCTGGCAAGCACAAGGTCCTGGGTTCGATCCTCGGGACCAAAAAAAAAAAAAAAGAAAGAAAGAAAATCAGGCAAGAGATTAGAGACAGCCCTTCTAAGACTCCGTCCAGAGCTAATCATCATAGACAGCACATTAGCCCCAAGAATAGGGATGGCAAACCTCTTAGAGACCAGGTGCCCAAACTGCAGCCCCAAACCCATTTATTTATTGCAAAGTGCCAACACTGCAATTCAACCTGGATACTGAGGTTTTAATTTAGAAACAACACCTCTTATCTGATGTCCAGCTGCTGGGGCGACTTGGCTCTCATGCAGACAGAGAGGGCTCTGCGTGCCATAGGTTCGCCGCCTCTGCCTCAGAGCACAGATTTTAAAACAGCTAGTTAGCTAGTTACTGTGCCTACTTAGGAAGCCACAGGGGCAGGGGGAGGAAGAAAAGGAAAGAAAGAGAGAGAAAAGAGAGTGTGTACAGAAAGTAGTGGAGCTTCCTGTGAAACTGAGTTCGGGGTGAAACTGGGCCTGAGGTATGTGTCATTCTCGGATGTGGTGATGTACAGTACGTTAATGTGTTTAACCTTCTGCTGTAAGGGACAGATGGGCATGGGCAGCGTGCCCCTTCAAACAGGCTGGTCTCGGGATTGGACGGCCTAGAGGAAGGTGGGGAAGACAGCAGGAAACTCCCGTTTCGGATGGTGGCACCTGCCTGACCCTTACAAAACCACTTTCATTCAGGGGCCACTTCCTGTCAGTCTTCCTGCGGCACTCACTCAGGCCAGGGACCATCCTTTGAAGGCCAAAGACAAGGGCCCCTCTGCCTCCTCCACAGAACACGTCAAAGAGCTAGAGGCTTGAAGCAAGATAACCGAACTCTTCGTGGCAGGGTGTAAGACTGCATCATATTTAAGAATGCTGGGGCAATTCCCAACTGAAAGGAATCTGCAGTTTCTGCTCCAACAGCCTCCGGGAAGGGAACAAAGCGCTTCCAGGAAAATCCCGCCCCCCAGCCCCGGGCAGCTGGGCTCCGTGAGTGCCACGCACGGGGTGCTCCCTGCAGATTGGCCGGGGTTCACAAGCCCGAGCTGCTTACTGCACTCCCTGCCCGAGGCCCGCTCCTCCGGCACCCAGATGTGCACCTGACTCACAGAAGGTGCCTACAGCTGCAGTGAACCGGGATCTAGAACTCCGCGGGTCAGCGGGCCGGAAGCCAGAACACTCATGTGATCCACCCACTGTATGCAGTCACCTTATTCTCCTATATTTTTTCCACTGTTCCAAGTGGACCTCGATGAGTCCAAATGTTTTCTGAGAAATGACAAAGAAGCTGTCACCAAGCCAACAGCCCACACTACATATTCAGTACAGCATGTGAAGTTCCAAAACGAGGTTTCTCCCACTCTCCAGCGCGAACGCGTAGCATCCGTGCGCAGATCTCATGGACCGTACTGGTGGGATGCAGGGAAGATAAAACATGCATTTACACTACACACCTTCCCTCTGATAATGAAAGAACATGTGAATACCTCCGAAGGAACAGAGTGACGCGGAGGACTTTTCCAGCCCAAAGCAAAAGCACCCAGGTCCGTCTAAACTCACTAACAAAACTGACCAGTGCCGGCCCAGCGCTGGCTTTGCTGATGGAGACATGCAACCAACTGGTGTGCACGTCACTCTGGTGCTTTCTTACAAGTGTCTCAAAGCTGCTCTAAAGCCCATGTTTCTGCTTCCTGTTTAGAATGCCGGGGAGGGCACTAGAGAGAAGCCCACCCGGTGGCTGGGCGGCTGACAGGGTAGAAGAAAATGCTGGGCCTTACAGGAAACAATGCAGCAACAAACGCAGAGCTCAGCAGCCGCCCACGAGGGAGTGCTGTGCGCGCAGCTTCCTTTGTGCGCCCGCGGCCGGCCCGCTGGCCAGTCAGCAGCCCCAAAACTCAAGGCTCATCCCTGTTTGGGGCCAGATCTACGGTGACCTCAGGCCACCCTTCCCATCGGGGCAGATATCAACGTGATGTCCCTAAAGAGAAATAAAAAAGATAGGTGACTCCAGAGGCTACTGGAAATAAGAAACGGCGCTCTGCTGAGAACAGACAGGGAAACAGGCATTTGGAATACGATTTTGCTACCCAAGTAGTCAGAAAACAAAGAAAAGAACATCAGAAAGAGGTGACAGCCCTGCCTCCAATACTCTCCAGTCTGGGAGCTGGGCTCCGCCCCCCACCCCACCGTTTACTCAAAAGAATATTTTCCTTTCCAGAAAAGAGCTCTTGAAACTTTTCTGGAAAACACTAGAGTTAGTTACCGTGCGTGCATTACAAGTTTCCCTATAATAACCTGGGTTTTTCTACCTCACCCCAGCTGTCAAATCACTTCCTGTTGAGTCTACTTTTATGACCTTGAAATAATATGCAAATCTGGTTAGAATTCTGAAGTTTGAACTTCAGTCTCCCAAAGTCCAGTAAATCCCTACAAGGATGTGAGGACTTATTATGTGATCCATGCAGGCGGGGGATCTGCAGTCTCACAGCACTCACGGTCTCCTTGAGATCAGGCTCATCTCCCCACAGAAGGGCATATATGCTTCCCACGGCCGGACGCCAAGTCTGGGGACTCCACCTCGAGGTGCGACAGGCGAGTCAGAGCAGAGAGCTCAGGATCAGTGGGAGGATTTCAGAAAGGCCTGCGGATGAGCAGGGTCTCGGCCGCAGTCTTCGTTTCAGATGAGAAAGGAAGTGCACGTGGCAGATGTGTGGAGAAACAGGGGCATATCTGCAAGCAGGGAGGTCGTTGTCTGCTTATGAAGAACCTGGAGTCCTAGTGGCTACCGAGAGCAGCTGGAAGTCACAGGCACGCTGGTTGTGTTTGGAACGATAACTCCCCTATTCAGTATTTATGAAGTTTAAACCCCAGGGATTAACCCTGCAAGGGTGCAGTAGGATGGAAAGCAGAGCGCCCGGAGCTCAGGACAGCAGTTCATCAGGGCCTCTGAGGCTGGGCATCCAGGAAGGTCCAGCCCGGGGTGCACCATTTGCCTATTTTCTGTTGCCATAACAAAATACCTGAAGCTGGATACTTACCAAAAATAGGTTTATCTGGCTCCCTGTTTTGGAAGCTGAAAGATCCAGCAGCCCCAGCCATTCGGCCTCTGGGGAAGGTGACAGCAGGAAGGAAAATAGCGGGGTGGCCTCACCTCTAACTAGCAGGACCTACCTGCCTCCAGAGAGCAGTGTCAATCCCACCCCCCAGGACCTCAGCACCTTGCACCAGGCCCCGCCTCTTAAAGGGCCCACCACCTCTTAATACCATCATCCTGGGGCCAGCCTGCAGCACCTGACCCTGGGGGATAGACCACATCCCAACCAAACAGCAGGGCTAAAGAAGACCCTATCAGGAAACACAGGCCCAGCAGAAACCTGATGGATACATGGGATGGGAGGAGGGGAAGAAGAGGAAGAGTGAATGCAATTCCAGGCATTACAGCAAGGGGAGGGGAAACTGGGGCCCGGAGAAGAAGTGCTGGGGTCATGTTTGGTCTTAGACATGTGCTGCGTTTGAGTTGTGGAACAGATAACGAGGTACCGACATCCAGCAGGTCACTGAAGGATGGAGCCAGACGAGACTGCAGAGCCAGTGCGGCGCTCAGCGCATGAAGAGAGCCGATTTCGTGGACATGGGTGAACTCTCCGGGGAGAGATGGGCAGACAGACCCAGCAGGAAAGGACTCGGGAAGGAGGAGCCCAGGGAAAAGGAGCGATTATAAAAGGCTTGCTCATCAGAAAGTTCATACGGGCTTAACAAGTGGGTGGAGTGGGTAAGTGGCATAAACGGCCCTGGCTGTGGAGCTCCAAGCAGAAAAGACAAGCACTGGTCATTAGAGTTGTGCTGGGAGCAACTAGGAGGGCTACAGATGGGCCCACTCTACATCGGGCGGGCTGCGGCAGAAGCAACACTGAACCTCAGACCTGAAGGCCGTGACGTTACCTGGGGACAACCAGTGGATTCTGATTTCCAAAATGTATATATTTTTGTCTGTCCTTCTCTCGGGACCACTATTTCTGGCCACTGTCATAATATGGTAATAGCATCTAATAGGGAAACGTGTATGCGTTTTATTTAGTATGCACACAACACTCACAAGTCTAAGGAAACTTTTTTTGCTTTTTTTTTTTTTTTTTGGTTTGGTTTTTGTTTTGAACCCATGGCCTTCACACTCAGTTTTATCCACAACACTTTTAATTTTCTTTTACCTTTTTTTTTTTTTAATTTTGAGACAGGGTCTTGATAAATCACTAAGTTGCCCAGACTCTGCTCAAACTTTCGGTCCTCCTGCCTCAGCTTCCCAGAGTGCTGAGCTTACAGGCGTGTGCCACCAAGCCCAGCTAGGAAGCCTGATTAATGATATGCCTACCATGTTGGTTGCATTCCCTCCCACACACTCGAGACAACACGTCAGTGAGACAGTCAGTTATGTGGCTTCATGCAGAACGATCTTTCCTTGGAGACCTTAAAATTTCAGAACACCGGCTCTCCAGAACACTCGCTCCCCAGCTGAACACTGCCCTGCCTGCTATCCGCCAACAGAGTCTCCCACCCTTTCTCCCAAGCCCCGCCCCTCATCTCAAGTGTAGGAACCTCAAAACCTTTGCTGTCTGGTCACAGTGTGCCGCCCATACAACCCAGCATCCCTGACCAGGTCACTCCTGACTCTGCCTCTACAGTCCATTCAGGGCTGCTGGAGAAACCTCACACGCAGGCAGGTGACCCACCAAAGACACCGCTGCTCCGGGTGGCGGTCACCACCCTTGTCCCAGTCCTGGCTCCATTCCTTCTCCTGGTCCCTTCAGCAGCCTGTCACTGGAGCCTGATCCCTTCACCTCCTGCCTCCTAGAGAGGATATCTGACATCAGTTGTCAGCTCCCCATCCCCACAGCCACCTCTTCACAGGTCCCCAAACCACCCACACTCTCCACTCCCTGGTAAAACACGGCCTGGGGAAGCAAGTGAGATACTTATTTTGGGGTACAAAACTCAATGGGGCAACAAAATACAGTCACCAATATGGTATTTGAAAGACTTCTTAAAAGTTGCAGTTTAAAAACAAATTTTAATATCAAATTGTAAATAGAGACAGGAACCCTTTCCGTGCTTTCATCTCCCCACCTCTCAGAATGCGCCCTAATTCCTGTCCCGTAGTTGGAAGCCACCGGGCGTGTGTTGCCGACTTCCACGGACGTGTCTGCATTCATAAAAGTATGATCACTCAGTACTAACCTTGCTATAGGCAGTGCACGCTCTGTGCTTCTTCTTCTTTCTTAATGCTGGACACCTATACTCTCTAAAATTGCTGCATGAACCAATAGCTTGTGACCTGCAAATTGGGAGAACACCAACTTAGATGAAATGAAAGCTCTACTATAAAATAGTCCTCTCTTATTTGCCAAAGCAAAAATAAACCCTGAAATTCTACTTAAGTAGGCAATGTCATCTGAAGGAAAGACTAGAAAAAAGGAACAAAGTGATTTAACCATTCTATCCTAGTTTTAGGGCTTTTTTGTTGTTGCTGAAGAAATAAAATATTGTCGTAAAACCTACCCCTACATGGTTTCATAGAAAACAGGAATGAATTGATGATTGTCTTCATTTTAAAAACTGATTTAATATTCAGAATATCCCCCTTGAGTCATAAAAAGATTGATAATCCTTTTCAAAGTGACATGGTTATAAAGTAGAACTGTAAATTAATAAGGTTCCTCTAGTAGTAAGTCAGTGATTTTCTTTAAGAAGCCTAACAACTATATGCTATTTGCATTTAAACTTTGCTTAAAGTTTCACGTGACAGACAGTTTTTGCTTTTTGCTCAGGCGTGACTCAAAGGCAAGAAAGATAGAATTTCCTGTAACCACACAACCAGTTACAAGGTGACAATGTCTGCACTATGTGTTCCACAAGGGAGGAAGCAACCTGAATTTTGACTTTACAACTCACATTTTAACTAGGAAAAATCATGACCAGGGATATAGCTCAGCGGCATAAGCACTTGCCGAACAAGCCTGAGGTCATAAATTCGATTTCTGGTACCCAAAAAAGAAAAGAAAATATTAGATGCCTTTTCAACAGTTATGCTATTTTTTAACTCAAGTTTGTGTCTCCAATGTAAGTCCTATAAAAGAGGAATGTTTCATCCAGTAGTTATCTTCAGGTGTTTTTATGGCTATGACTCAGCCATAAAACAATAGCTCAAGCCATGGGCAAAATGTAAAAGCCATTTAGAATTATCACTTTTCTACCTAGAATACATTTATAAAGTTAGTTCTTAATTCAGGGTTAGTCCAAATATCTTAAACTCCAATTTAATAAGCATGGATACAAAGGACAGAGGGGAAAGTTATGAGAATCCAGTTCCAGGATCCCCACCTCTGTAAACTAAATTCTCCATTTCTTCAGAAGTTAAACATAGGTGTAGACTTGTTTGCTAGTTATAGGGGAAATAAAGACAAGTAAATACCAGACGGAGAAATAAATCTAGGCAAACCCTAAGTCTTTATTAAGGAAACTGGTTGCCATGGGTTATAGGACAGCAGTATACTTTACTGCTGGTAACTTAAAGTACTAAACTTTTCCAGTAACTAGTTTTGATTATGTGGAATTTACCACAACAAAAATAGATAAAAATATAAAAGAAGTCAAACATTTGCCTTTCTAAGCCTGAGCCTCTGAATTCAATCTCGCAACACAGTTTTTGGGTTGATGGGGCTGCTTGCTTGCTTGCTTGCTTGCTTTTTTTATTTTAAAAAGAATAAAAAATTATATTAAAAATGACACAAATTTCAAAACAAGTTGATAGGAAATCAGCAATGGTTGTCATATTGCGTATTGTTATCTTCAAAGTAGTCATTCAGATTACCAGATACAGGCATGTAAGAGTGATCAAAAAAATCAAGCATCAACTGTTCCTTTCAATAAACCAGTAAAGGGCCGGGGATATAGCTCATCAGCACAGCACCTGCCTGGCAAGTGTGAGGTCATGAGTTTGATTCCCGGTACCAAAAAACAAATCAATAAACCAGTAGAAATTAGTAGTACAATTGTCTTAGCTATCATATATATACATGAAAGGGAATATATATATATATATATATATATATATATAAATTTTCCCTTCCTTCTTTCTTTCTTTTCTCCTTTGCCTCATCCCAGTTGTTTGCTTTCTTAAATATAAGTCTTGTTGTTTTTTTTTCATTTCTACTTAAGAAACTTCTTTACATTCCAGCAATAGTTACCAACATGGCTGTGTGTACCAGTGCTTTAGGAATGTAGTAACTCATCCTCCAATAACCTGGGAGGGAGAAAGGATCTTCCCCATTTTGCAAAAGAAATTGAGGCACCAAGGTACTGGTTAACTTCGTAAATCCCAGGCAGCTCCAAGCAGCTGAGCCCTTCCTCGTCCCTCCCCCGCTGCGCCTTCCCTGTCTTCCTGGCAGGGCTCTTCTGCAGTTCCCCTCAGGATGGGAGGGTTGGGAAGTGGGTGGGGTAGGGTCAAGGTCCCTGACCAAGAGGGCAAAGAATCTGCTCCACCATCTGAAGCTTGGGAGCACTGCCACCACCTGCATGTTGGTAGCACTCGGTCTCACTCTCTTCTCTAGCAGAACCTTCCCCTAACCCTCCGTGGATGACAGGGACTTTCTTCTTATCTTTGCTTTGTCCCAATGGTTCTAGACATGGGCAAAGTGACCTCATGAGCCCGTGTTCTCTGGATACAAAAAGTTTTTTCTCCAAACACCAGGAATCCAAGGCCAGCAATCCTAAGTGGTAGAAACCAGGGGAAAGAGATGGGGTGGAATGAAGGAGAGGACAGGAACACATAAGGGAGGGACAACTCAAAGAGGAGTTTTTAAACAAGTATTCGATGAGCAAGTATCAGGTAAAACGAAATGTGAGGAGTCATAAGCACAGAGCTACACCCTCGCCCTGGGAAAGCCATCGTGCTTCTAATAAAAAGCTATATCAAAATTGTTCCAGGAGTCAGAGCAGAAAAAATGTAAAGCTATATTCAAAGTTGGCTCATAAAACAACAGTCAAAAAGTGAACATGATAAATAGATGGAAACCGGTTATCCATCACAAGGGTTACAGCCAGGACTCGAGTCAAAAATACAAGTTCATCTGTCGGTGATACGTGATTGCCCAGCCCGCTAGTGTACTATCAAATACTCTGAAAACTGTCCCCGCTCCCAAATCTACCCCAGTAGGACTCTTTGCACACTGTGATGCCTTTGCCTGGGTTACTAGAAATCAACATTCACTCAAGCTGAGATTTTTCAGTCTTGAGATTTCTTAAGCTGGCTTTGCCAGCAGAAAAACTGACCAAGGGACATTTGTTTTGTTGCAGCTGGTTTGGGGAAGGGGAGACCTTGGAAAATTCATCATTGAATCTGATATTGAGAAGCTGTTTGCTGGTTGAGGGATGGGTTTCTTCTAATGAGAGGAGGGAGAGAAGGTGGGAACTGGGGACAGTTTTGTGGGACAAGTGGCAAATGAGCAGGACCTAGAGTAAGGGCTAGAGTTCCCCCAGGGGTTTGAGGAGGGAAAAAGCAACAGTTGAGAAGGAAAGACGGCAGCAGGGAGCATTTAAACTGATTTATAAGTGCGGTGGAGGGAGAAGGGGGAAGATATCCTAAGAGACACTAGTGCTGGAATTTTTGAAAGCATACAGGACAAAAACTTGTGGGTAGAGCAGGGAATGCCAATTTTAGTTTGCTAGAAGCTAGGGTGAAAGGAGACACTGGAATCAAGGAGATTAAAACGGAGACCTGAGGTCAAATAGTGCTAAGAAAAATGATGATTCAGAAATAGGGTGCCGGGGCTGGGAATTTAGCTCAGCGGCAAAAGCGCCTGCCTGGCAAGCGCAAGGTCGTGAGTTCAGTTCCCGGTACCGGAGAAAAAACAAAAAAATAAAAATAAATAAAAATAAAAATAGAAATAGGGTGCCATCGTCTAATGGCACTTTATCTGTCTTATTCTGGACATTGTATCTAAAAAAAAACCCACTTACTGATGGTTTTACCACACAGAGCACAAAAAGCAAAATAGTATATGAGTTCTATGTAATACCTTTCTGTCTTTGCCATCTGACATTTATTCTAATAAGCTAACTACTATTGTTTAAGCACCTGTGCCATTCGAGGCGTTACAGTGGGCAGCCCAAAAGGTAAGGCGTACGTTTAATTGATTCTACAGATACTAACTTACGACATACCATGCAGAAGGCCAATGGCAGGATGCTGGGGAGCCTTTGGGGGTGTTTCAGGTGTAGATACCCGGTGGAGGGTCGGTAAGTGTTCCACTGCAACCTGGAATCGGGACCTAATGGACAGAGGGAAAAGTCGAGAGTTTTAGGATGAAAAACAAGTAAAAGTAGGTCTATAGCCTGCCTCTCTCCTGTACTGGAAAATGCATTTGACTTACCTTTAAACCGTGTTGCAGTGTTTGCGGGGAATCAGTTGCGATGACTTACTAACAAAGTATAATTTCCTTTCTCTAAAAGGCATTCATGTATCTTTGCCATCATGGGTTAGTTAGAGGCTAGCTAGTATTTTTCAGCTATCAAAATGCTGAGCTATACTCATTATGAGGCTTCTCACAATATATTAGGTAAGAGTTTATTAAAATACTCACTTGATGGTTAAGGGCCACTTATCACATCCCAAAATACCATTGAGACTGAGAAGTATCATTCTTAATCCACTGAGAATGGTCTTCCATTATCTTTGACAGGAAAGAACACTATGCACTTAAAATAGCTTTCAGTGACAGTGACACAGACACAAGACCATAAAGCTCTGTAAACTGTGGAGAAAAAAATCTAATAGAGTCAGTGTTTTAGCTAAGTTTGCTTTGTGTGCTGTCAGAAAGTTGTAGGAAGAGCTGTAGCAGTGAAGGAAAAGAGAAAAATATGAACTCTTAGATGAACCTTAGGCTGTATGACAAAGTGGTGAACTTGACCTTGGGGGTTTGTTGCCTGCAGAGTTGGTAGAAGATTCTCTTCTGTAGTTGCCTGTCTGCTTCTAGTATTAAAGTCTTCACAGTGGAAGATAAAGCTGAATAATACCGATCAAAGCCAGTCTCTGAATTCATAGCATCAGAATGTAAAAAGTCACTTGAATTTAAGTTCACAACTCACCTGATCAAGTTTTTTATCTTGAAATATAAAAGCCCTTATATCCTCTCTCCATATAAATTAACAAATGGTAGAGTCCTTTCAATAATTTCATGTCCATTCAACAACCATACATAAAATAGGGTATATTTTGTTACTTTGAGAAGAGACCATTTCCTGCTGAATTTCACTGTTTTCTGGAACTCTGTGTTCTGAAATACAAATTCTAATGCAAGTGGGCCTCTGGAAGAACTCAATCCTTTACAATTTGAAAGTCACCAAGTGCAATGATTCCAGCCAAAGTGACCCATTTTTAAAGATGACCCATTTCAAAACCCATGAGTTATTATTCAAGCTGTTCCATATTTGAGAATTAGAAAGTTACTTCGTTTTACTACAGTCTCACTGTTTGAATGCCTTTTATAACAAGGGAAATTTGATTTCCATGTTTAATGATCACAATATGACTTTTTTTTTTTTAACTCATTAGAGCCTGAACTTTATTTTGGAAAAATCCACCCCTATCCCCATCTTCGGAGTTCTCTCTGGGGGCAGAACAGGTCTAAGCATCTGTACTCTCTGTCTAGGGTGTCCATCTCCCCCTTCCTCCAAAGGAACGTCTCTGGGTTCAAGAACTTTCCCTGTCAGTATTCACCCCACCTCAGCTGTATGGGCGAGAGGCTGGAAATGCGCGTGGGTGGGGAGAAAGAAGGGGGGAGACGACCAGCCGTGTGGTCTATGGTGGAAACCCTTCAGGTATTCAATATCTTGCTTTGCGTTGGCCTCCTCGAAGGTTCCCCCTCCCATCTTGTGGCAAGGTGTAACATCCACTGTGGCAAGGTGTAACATCCGCTCGGTTTCTTTTGAAAAGGCTAAAACCTGGGCCGCTAATCACTAATCATCTTTCCAGAGCAATCGGGGTGGGATCATTTTTGCGCCACTACTCAACACATCGACTTTCAGGCATCCTTTTTCTGGGTCAATTTCAGCTTCTCACATTCCTCTCCCTTCCCCCCATGGGGACCAGGTAAAGTTTCCCAAAATAAAGGCACAGAGGAACCAATCCAATTCTGATGGACGTGCTTTCATTAGACAGGTATCCTAAATAGCAGCTCCGTGCCCTCGCCAGCCACTCTGCGGTGACAGCGCTGGTGTCCCTTTAGCATGATCCATAACCTAGGAAGACCAACACTGGGAAAGAATCTAGCGTAGCTAACGCCAATTAAAGTTGTTACTTTGTACCTAAAGGATACTTGAGCAAGCAATTGACTGTCAGTCACCCCCGAGGACCGAGAGAGTCAAAGTAAAACAGGCAGAGCCAAAGCAAAGAGAAGTCTAGACTTTCCCACCAGAAAGTTTAGTTTTCTAGTGTCCCCCGCCTGCCCACTTCCTCGTTTCCTTATCCCAGCCTTTAACTCGCCGAAAGCCTCGCCGGCCCGCCACTTTCCCCACTGCCCCCGCCCGGCGGCCCCGGCTTTCCGCGCGAACCCCCGGGGCGGCGGGAGGCGGAGGCCAGCTCGGGACCCCG